TAACTAAGATATTTTCCTCTCCTCCAAATTTGTCCGTATTGGAGGAACTAAAATCTCCTCAACTATTATTTTTCAACCAAACACATGGACCTCAATTAAAATCCCTGTATTCCATTTTTCTCAAGCCAAAATATAGTAAAATTTGATGTCATTAATCATCCATAGTTGTAACTTACAACAGCAACAATCGTAGCATATGAAAATATTGACAGAAGATAGAGAGCATGTTTAGAGGCCAGCAAGAATGATTTGAGTTTCAAGATCTCAACGGGAAATTTTATTTCAATCACATGCTTGCCTCAAGGTTTATTAATGTTCATCGTTCAAAAAGAAGAAATTAATCTCCACGATAGTCAACTGCATTTTTGCGTCGCCTCTCGTTATGACCAACCAACCGTGTTCTACAACTCCTTTTCGATTCATCAAATTCAGACAGTTCATGGAATCTGAAAAACAGAATTTTTGAAGAAAAGTTAGTTTCTGCAATCTAGAACAATACATGTTTTTCAGTTGATTTACTTTATACCATGCAGGACAGGATCAAATACTCCCTATCATCTTGAAGAGGGTTAGTGTAACTATACTATCAATGCATCAAAACTGAAGAACAACTCTTGTTTTGATAAAATGGGTGTTACCCTAAATCATGTTTTGTCAACAATATGCCACTGGTTAAAATTAACCAATAAAACCCAATGAGTTTTGTCAACCTTTAAGTTCAAAACGGTGATTCCAAATCTAAAAATGATCAAAAGTAAAAGTTCGATCCATGCTATTGTATTGGTAAACATCATTCAGAAGAAGAAAAATATATCTAATATCTAGTTAAGATATATATTGACGAATATAAATAGCTGGCCACCTAGAGAAAAATATTGACTGCATTAAGCATATTAATTTCGTCCTTGGATTTTAACTTTCTATAATGTTATAAAATTTCACATTCTATAATCAGGGTAATGTGGAGAATCCTCAATGGCCAAGTTTCTTTTTTTTTTNTATAAATGAAAAGAAACTTTGTGTCTTTAATAGTAACCTTACATTTATAGTAATCGTCAACCTCAAGGAGCATAGTGACATAGAGGTTTAAATGATGGGATGTAAGGTCTGACTAAATGTGAGTGGTGAACACTTGTCAGGCTACACAGGAAACGAAGTGAGGAGGCAGAAAGTTGCCTCCGTTCAAAAATCATCTCTTCCTCTTGTCTTTTATAACTTGTATATTTATATTGACGTATATGTAGTCGAGAATAACCTTGCTTTTGTACATTTCCATCAATTACTGTTGGAAAAAAATCTAAGTTACTTTACCCATCTAAGGCTTGATAAGGTAGGCAACATAAGAATATGAGAGTTGTTCAATCAAGATCAACAAGGTAGGTAACACACAAGAGTTGTTTAACCAGAGCCAACAAGATAGGTAGCACACAAGGCTTGTTAATTTGAGTTGTTCAACCAAACTCTGCAAGATAGACGACACACGAGAACTGTTCAACTGAGGTCAGTAAGGTAGGCATCACACGAGAGTTGTTCAATCAAGACCGACAAGGTAGTCAACACACGAGTTTGAGAGTTGTGAAACTAAGACTAACAAGGTAACCAGCTTGAAAGGTTCAACCAGGACCACCTATGTAGGCGGCAAGGTACTGTATGAAAGGTTAAACTAGGTTCACTTAGGTAGGTGGTAGGGAATTGTATGGAAGGTTTGACGAAGATTGCCTCGGTCAGCTGTAGGGAATTGCATGGAAGATTTGACTAGGACCGCCTATATAGGTGGCAGGGAATTACATGGAAGGTTCAACCAAGACCACCTTGGTAGGTGGTAGGGAACTACATGAAAGGTTCAACCAGAACCGCTTATGTAAGCGGTACGGAACTGCATGGAAGGTTCGACTACCATTTATGTAGGCGCCAAGCAGCTTACTTGCTTGCAAAATAGTCAAATAGAATTTTGAAAGTGAGAACCTTTATTTTATAAATGAAGTGTCGTGTTAAAATAAGTCAATCATAGGTCAGGATGCTTCAAGCCATCTTCAATCATGATATTTCAGGTTATTATTGGTTGAGATATGTTAGGTTGCGATGTTCCAAGTCAACATTGGTCAACATGTAGGTCGAATGTTAACGATGAAAAGTTGAGACAAATAAGCAAAGGCCGAGATGCTGAGATTGAGAAGTCGAGGTCGACATGTACAGGTCGAGTTGTCAAAAATGAAAAGTCGATAGATTTCGCGACGAAGAGATCAAGGATGACATGGTAAGGTTGAACGAGACCAAGCTGTTAAGTCCAAACGAGGTCGAGCTACCAAGGCTGAAGAGTCGACAAATTTTGCGATCAAGAGGACGAGGTCAACATGTTGAGGTCGAACGAATTCGAGATATGCCGAGGTCGAAAAAGGCAGAGAGATGTAGAGGTCGAAATGTTGAAGATATATGGGGTCCGAACAAGACGAAGTTATCAAGACTAAAAAGTTGATAGATTTTGCAATTATGAGGTTGAGGCCAAGAGGTTGAGGCCGAGTGGGAGAGGCCAACAAGAAGAGGTCGATATGTTGAGGTCAATATGTAGAGGCTTATATGTTGAGACTGAGAGGTTGAGACTAAGAGGTTGAGGCCAAGACATAGAGGTTGAAACCGATAGGTTGAGACCGAGAGGTTGAGGCCGATAAGTAGAGGCTAAGATATCAAGGCAAAGAGGTTGAGGTTGATACGCAGAGGTTGAACAAGGCCGAGATGTGCTGAGGCCGAACAAGGCCGAGATATGGTAGAGGTCGAATAAGGCTGAAATATGTTAAAGGTTGAATAAGGTCCAGATTGTAAGAAAGTCCTTTTGCATTGCCATTAGCATGGTCATCTCACTAGAGGGATTTCCAACTTCTCTTGTACTTGCCATCTTACTTCTCATAGGCATCATGTAACACTTTCTTCACAATTTATATCTCAGCCTCACAATGAATGCTAATTGTTCTTACAAGGCTGAGATTTCCTATGAAGACCCTTCAAGTTTTTCTAGGGCTTGGAGGTAGTTTTAGACCAAGAAAAGGTGTGATTCCAACTTCATGTCTTCCACCCGAGATGCTCTAGGTCTTCATCTTTTCAAAACCGAGAGGAAGTATGCTTACAGAAAACACTCTGATATCCAAGTTAGTCAAGTGTTTCAAATAGCAGTTAATGATGTAAATAATGAAAATAAATATTTACCTCGATGATTTTATTATTTATAGGACAATTGGGTCTAGGTGACTTAATGACCCATTTACCTCATGAGCAAGTTATTTGATCTAAATTATGCTAAGTTCCAAGTAGTACGTCATTAGCTTTGGTAGTCCGAAAGATAGTTGGATAAGTCGACTTATGGTCAAATAGTTTACCATTAGTGGTGGTAGGTAACACATAATCTTGGTAGACAATACATAATTTTCAATAGACGACATGTAGTCTTGATAAGTAACACCTAACTCTCGATAAACAACACCTCAATTTTATTCTATTCTAAATTATCTTAAAACGAAATCAATATTGATAAGAACTTAGCTTTATATAATATAATATATATCTAAAGTATTAATCTATATTTGAAGTGCACCTAACAAAATTTAATGAAAGAAAAGATATATGATGTATAATGTGATAAGAAAATAGATATAAAAATAAATATGACGTGAATAATAAATATGTTTGAAAAAGAGATTGGTTTGTATCACTATCTCTTTTTCGCTGACATAACTAAGATATTTTCCTCTCCTCCAAATTTGTCCGTATTGGAGGAACTAAAATCTCCTCAACTATTATTTTTCAACCAAACACATGGACCTCAATTAAAATCCCTGTATTCCATTTTTCTCAAGCCAAAATATAGTAAAATTTGATGTCATTAATCATCCATAGTTGTAACTTACAACAGCAACAATCGTAGCATATGAAAATATTGACAGAAGATAGAGAGCATGTTTAGAGGCCAGCAAGAATGATTTGAGTTTCAAGATCTCAACGGGAAATTTTATTTCAATCACATGCTTGCCTCAAGGTTTATTAATGTTCATCGTTCAAAAAGAAGAAATTAATCTCCACGATAGTCAACTGCATTTTTGCGTCGCCTCTCGTTATGACCAACCAACCGTGTTCTACAACTCCTTTTCGATTCATCAAATTCAGACAGTTCATGGAATCTGAAAAACAGAATTTTTGAAGAAAAGTTAGTTTCTGCAATCTAGAACAATACATGTTTTTCAGTTGATTTACTTTATACCATGCAGGACAGGATCAAATACTCCCTATCATCTTGAAGAGGGTTAGTGTAACTATACTATCAATGCATCAAAACTGAAGAACAACTCTTGTTTTGATAAAATGGGTGTTACCCTAAATCATGTTTTGTCAACAATATGCCACTGGTTAAAATTAACCAATAAAACCCAATGAGTTTTGTCAACCTTTAAGTTCAAAACGGTGATTCCAAATCTAAAAATGATCAAAAGTAAAAGTTCGATCCATGCTATTGTATTGGTAAACATCATTCAGAAGAAGAAAAATATATCTAATATCTAGTTAAGATATATATTGACGAATATAAATAGCTGGCCACCTAGAGAAAAATATTGACTGCATTAAGCATATTAATTTCGTCCTTGGATTTTAACTTTCTATAATGTTATAAAATTTCACATTCTATAATCAGGGTAATGTGGAGAATCCTCAATGGCCAAGTTTCTTTTTTTTTTNTAGATATAAAAATAAATATGACGTGAATAATAAATATGTTTGAAAAAGGGATTGGTTTGTATCACTATCTCTTTTTCGCTGACATAACTAAGATATTTTCCTCTCCTCCAAATTTGTCCGTATTGGAGGAACTAAAATCTCCTCAACTATTATTTTTCAACCAAACACATGGACCTCAATTAAAATCCCTGTATTCCATTTTTCTCAAGCCAAAATATAGTAAAATTTGATGTCATTAATCATCCATAGTTGTAACTTACAACAGCAACAATCGTAGCATATGAAAATATTGACAGAAGATAGAGAGCATGTTTAGAGGCCAGCAAGAATGATTTGAGTTTCAAGATCTCAACGGGAAATTTTATTTCAATCACATGCTTGCCTCAAGGTTTATTAATGTTCATCGTTCAAAAAGAAGAAATTAATCTCCACGATAGTCAACTGCATTTTTGCGTCGCCTCTCGTTATGACCAACCAACCGTGTTCTACAACTCCTTTTCGATTCATCAAATTCAGACAGTTCATGGAATCTGAAAAACAGAATTTTTGAAGAAAAGTTAGTTTCTGCAATCTAGAACAATACATGTTTTTCAGTTGATTTACTTTATACCATGCAGGACAGGATCAAATACTCCCTATCATCTTGAAGAGGGTTAGTGTAACTATACTATCAATGCATCAAAACTGAAGAACAACTCTTGTTTTGATAAAATAGGTGTTACCCTAAATCATGTTTTGTCAACAATATGCCACTGGTTAAAATTAACCAATAAAACCCAATGAGTTTTGTCAACCTTTAAGTTCAAAACGGTGATTCCAAATCTAAAAATGATCAAAAGTAAAAGTTCGATCCATGCTATTGTAATGGTAAACATCATTCAGAAGAAGAAAAATATATCTAATATCTAGTTAAGATATATATTGAAGAATATAAATAGCTGGCCACCTAGAGAAAAATATTGACTGCATTAAGCATATTAATTTCGTCCTTGGATTTTAACTTTCTATAATGTTATAAAATTTCACATTCTATAATCAGGGTAATGTGGAGAATCCTCAATGGCCAAGTTTCTTTTTTTTTTTCCATTTTGAGTCGCTAAATCTTTCTTGAAAACACAGCAATACAAAGGAACTGTTTATTACAGCCAAGTTTGGTAAATAATTGAAGGAAGAAACAAAAGAAGCAGAGAGAAAGCCTTGGCAAAAGACTCAACAACACAAAGCCGAAGCACATCTTTCATTTCCCCTCCAATCATGCCCCATATTCAAATTGAAGGGTTTTCTTTTCTCCCTTCCTCAAACTAACTAGGGCTGCTTGAAAAGATATAGATATAACTAACAAAATTCTAATCAAACCATTTTTCCCTCAGGCAGTTCACAGCTAAGATTAAGTTTGAATAAAAGATATGCAGACAATAAATATAAAGGCATAATCAGATTCACAAAATTCATTCTGCTTCAAAGAGATTAGGGTTTCAGGACCTGCTACATTGTTGGCAAAACCTTTGTTGCAGCCCTGCCATGTGTACGGAATGAGCCTTGGCATGGTACTCACAAACCTTGTGTCTTCTGTGATACTGCTTAGCTTCACTTAGATCAGCATCACAGTTATCCACCTGACAAGAAGGTGGCATTGAGCCTCCAGCTTTCGACCCTTTCTTTCCATAGAGATCTCTCATTACTCTCTTAATCCTCCTTCCATCATCTCCAAAAACCGTCTCAGCCTCTTCCTCTTCTTCTTCTTCTTCATCTTCCTCCTCCTCGCTGTACCTCAAGACTCTCTTTCCCTCAGACCTGCTTGCGTCCATAAATTCCTCAGAGATCCAGAAGAAAGTTCTGAGAAAAAAAAAACTCAGGAGTTACATATGGAAGACATGACCATAAACATTTGATATAAATAGTAAAAACCAGAAGGGTAAATAGGATATGAGAGAAATTGGTGAGGACCACATAGGGTCTTGGTTTTGGTCTCCATTTTTCTGTTGACAACTAGGGGTAACAGTAAAAGGTCGGAAACAAAAAGTAGATAAGCCATAGGTATGTAGTATGTACGATTGAAGAAAACCTAGCCAGTAATACAGACAAAACAAACCCTTGTTCTTCACTCTTCTTAATTTACCTTGGACTTTTCTTACACAAGAATTTTGAAAAGATATCGATAGCTAAGTCATTGAGCAACGCTGATTCTTTTTGGAGAGAAAAACACGTGCCTTGTGAAATGGACTAGTGGTTCACAATTGTCCAAGTCCTCACATCACCCCCCATTGAACACTCATTAATTTCCTTCCATGGTGGCTATACCTCTCACCCTCAACCACTAAAGAATCTAAGAAAGAAAATCAAGGGCAAAAGACAGCAATACATTTCCTTACTCTCATAAAGTTTGTACTTTTCGAAACTTGATTTAAAGATATAATTATTAGTTATTAAGGAGAAGTAAAAATTGAAGTAAACCACCTTTCCCTTAAAGGAGAACTCAATATTTTTTAACGGAAAACTTTTTGAGGTCTCTCCAACTTTGTGACATTGTTTCTAGGCGGCTCTTGCTGTCATATTTGGAAAAAATTTCTCAATACCAGTGAAAAAAAAACAGTATGAAGAAAGAAAATAATAATATTAATAATCATATCACTCCCCTTTCCATTGTAGGGTCCAATCAAACATGTTGGAGACAATAATAAAGCAAACCAAAACGTCACTGTATATAAAAATTGAAGTGTGGATGTATTAAAGAGTGTTTACCTGAATGTGGACAAAATATTTCTCATCTGGTTACCAAACAAGGTAATTAATAAACTGATTAGTAGGTAGCAGCAGAAGTGTTGGTTGATTTATCTCTCTCTCTATCTCTGTTACGTTAGTCCTTTTTTCTTTTTGGGTCAATGATGACAGTCCTTTACTGGTTCTCGTCGAGAGGAAAGTGTGGTGGGATGAAGAGTGGGCATAGATTCCATTCTCGACTATATCTTTCATTTGCATTATTGTAAGGAAATACTGTGATTGGTGTAAATTGATTTAGGAAAATGTTATTTGGACAACAAAAGTTTGACACAATTTTGACAACGGCGACGTGGCAGCTGTGCATTGGCTCAGTGAAGGGTATTTTGGGTTTTTTCTGGTTTGTTTTCAATTCACTGAGCCAATGCACAGCTGCCACGTCGCCGTTGTCAAAATTGTGTCAAACTTTTGTTGTCCAAATAACATTTTCCATTGATTTAAAGCGCTTTGGTTTGGCCCTATATGCTTACTCCACGTGTTACATACGAATGTCTAGAAGTAGAACTCAACTATTGGATGCTTTTGGATTTATTATAGTTTCTCTCCACATATTTTGCGATCAAATTTAGCGCAGGTGTGCTGTTAGTCATCATCATTTTATTCAACCTGTGACATATAACAACAAATATGTTTCTTATAATTATCTTTCTATACTTACTGTTCTCAGTCTCATATTTAATGTTATACCAGCTAGACCTAGCTCTCTATGCACAATCCTATTACCAAAATATACTCACATGTAATAATATAAATTTCTTCTGTGTTACTACTTGTTATTATATGATGCTATTATATGGAGGTAACTACATATTTAATATTTATAAATTCATATATGTATTTTTTATCTTCAAGTCACAAAAACTCTATCATTAACCCATAATTATTATTTATTATTGACAGTAACTATTACATTAAAATATTTGACTTTTTTGGACTTTAAAATCGACAAATTTTTTAAATAAATAAACAACCTGTTTAATTTTATTTCATTTAAGTTTATTCTAAAGAAACTACCTGGTAAACTTAAATGTTTTTATTATTCTTTGCTATATCTCAATTTTTTCATGTACATTATTCCACATTGAACTTGTTCATTTTATTAACAATTGAGTTTTCACTTTTTTTCATGGTTAACTTATTTTTTTTATTGTGGTTGTTTTGATTTTTACTTTGGTTGACTTCTCAGTAATCTTGACTCACTTGTTATTGATCTTGACTGACTTCTTATTAATGATGATCAACTTCTATTGACCATGATCGACTTCTCAATAACTATTTTCCTCTCTACATCTTCATCTTCAACTTCCTCATTCATTGAGATCTTCTCCATGCTAGTGACGACCATATGTCTCAAATTCCCAATCTCTGATCACAACGTGTCGAGTTCCTTCGGCGTTTCTTCCAATTGCTTCGATGAACGATATTGTCTTGCAGGCGGCTAAACTCATTGCTCTTCTTTATGGCCCCGTGGGCCAGCGTCTTTAATCAGTTGAACAAAACCTGCAATTTCAACTTCATATTTTCTGCAGCAACTCATACTTGATGATTGTTAAATAAAACACACTCAACCGCTGCACACACAGTGTAAATATTTTCGTTAGAGAAAATAAGTGCGCGCTGCACTCCATACTATAATATATTTCTTTCTGCAAAATCGAACCCCTGCACTACAAATATTTCTCTCTCTCTCTTTGATAAACAAAAAAATGCTCCACTCTAAAATATTTTTCCTAACAAAACTGCGGGAATACTTTTTCATTCATACAAAATGGTTTTAAATAGCCGTAAACATGACACAGACCGTGGGCCTTTACAAGATAATAATAACAACCTAAAATAAAAACTATATGATATCTATCTCTAATTCACTCTCTATTTTCTAAATAAAAATCGCGTTACGTAAAACGCACAACAACAAACAAAATATTAAAAAATAAATCTTAATATTTTTAAGTTTATTCAACAAAACTCCCTCATAAACTTTAAAATCATCTTTCCTTCATCCCGATCAACTTTCTTAATTCCTGATGTGTAGGTAATGGCTTCATGAATATATCAGTTATTTGCTTTTTGCTTTCTATGTGTTCAAGTTCCACGTTCCCTTCCTTTACCTCTTCCCAGATAAAATGAAAACGGACATCAATATGTTTGCTCCTCTCGTGATTGAATGGGTTCTTTGCCAACTCAATTGTCGATCTATTATCTACTCGTGTCAACACCTTTTCTTCTTGCATTATCTCCAGATTCTTCAACAAGTTTCTCAGTCAGATTGCATGTCGGGCACTCCAAGATGCTGCCACATATTCAGCCTCACATGTTGATAATGCAACAATAGGTTGTTTCTTTGAGAGTCAAGTAAATGTTGTATCTCCCATAAAGAAGACATAACCAGTTGTGCTCTTTCAGTCATCCACATCTCCACACCAGTCGTTGTTTGAATACCCACTAAGCTAGTAGTTATCCGACTTAGTATACCATAATCCGAAAGATATAGTTCCCTTTACATACCTTAGTACCCGCTTCAATGCTTTCCAATGAGAATATCTTGGCTCTTCCATAAAACGGCATATGACTCCCACACTCAACATAAGGTCTGACCTTGTGTTTGTTAAGTACCTAAGACTCCCAATCAAGCTTTGATACCTACTTGCATCAACACGATCCCCTTCTCCATTTTTTGATAGCTTCGTGTCAGGTTCCATTGGAGTAGAAACCGGATTGCACTTGATCATCTTTGCCTTTTTCAATATATCTTCAGCATACCTCTTTTGAGACACAAAAATTCCTGTTGAACTTTGATTCACCTCTAGACCCAAAAAATATTTTATCATGATCGGTCATTTCGAACTCCCTCTTCATCACTTCTTTAAATTCTTCAACCAGCTCGGCTTTACTTCCCATGAAAATCAAATCTTCTACATATAGAGCAACAATCAACATACTTGTTTTGTGCTTCTTTAGGTATAGAGCATGTTCATACAAACATGGATCATAACCATTCTTTCTGAAATATGTATCAGTTCTCTCATTCAAGGCTCAAGGAGCTTGCTTAAGACCATATAACACATTCTTCAGCTTCAACACCTTCTTTTCTTCAGCTCTTCTCATCTAATCGAGAGGTTGCTCTACATATACCTCATCTTCAAAAAAACCATTTAAAAATGCAGACTTCACGTCCATCTGCTGAATCTTTCATCCTTGTTGAGTGGCTAGCGAGAATAGTAGCCGAATTGTTTCCATCCTTGTCATTAGAGTGAATGCTTCGTCATAGTCAATCCCATTCTGTTGTTTGTAGCCCTTCACCACAAGTCAGGCTTTATAGCGCTCCACCTCTCTTTCTGCATTAATTTTCTTTTTGTATACCCACTGTACACCAATTGGCCGAACACTTGTGGATAAATTTGTCAACTCTCACGTTTCATTTTTTTCAATTGAGTTGATCTTCTCATCCATAGCTTTCTTCCATCTTTCATCAAGCACGACTTCTTTAAATTTTATATCTTCTGCACCTATTAACAAACATGCTACATTTACCTCATCAGTGAAGTTATCCGAGCTCTTGCTAGTCATATCTTGCTTCAAACACCTTTCATGCAAGATCTTCAGCTACAGTTCATATAATCGGTTTTTCTTCACTTTTACCTTGGTTGCTAGACGACCATGCTTATCCTTTAAATAGAGTATCTGATCTTTCATAAAAATTAAATTACCTTTTTCAATTATCTGACTCATGCTTAAACTATTGTTCTTTAACTTGGGAACATAGTAAACATCTCTAATTTGTCCAACTCATCCATCCTTCTACATATGCCGGATTGTTCCACGCCCTTTTACAGCCACCTTGGAGTCATCTCCGAAAGACACAAATCCAGCCTCCGCCTTGGTGAGTTTATCAAAAAAATTCTCGTTCCCACACATGTGATAACTTGCTTCAGTATTTAAATACCATACTAAGTTGGTAGAAATCTTCTCAGCCTTTGATTTCAAGCATGGTCCAACATCTGAATTCTCCACCTTCGACTATAAGATCTTTGACGTCAACAAAATCCCCATCTCTTCTTCATCTTCTTCTGTAAGAAGGTTTCTCTTACTTTTCTTCTTGGCTCGACATGTGACCGAGCTTACCACAGTTGTAGCACTTCATTGATCTACATTCATTTGCATAATGACCGTGATTGCCACACTTAAAACACTTCACTTCTGATCGATCTTATCGGCCCTTTCCCTTGTCATTGGTCATGCCAATTTTGTTGACCAGTTTTCTCTTCATTGCCTTTACCACTCCACCTTGTTCTTGTCCTTGGCATCCTCGTCCTCTGTCTTCTCGTCCTCTGCCTCCTTGACCTCCGCTCTAAGTATTTCGAGTTTCGTTCGAGTCAAATTGTGCTTATAGTACTTGATCGTCAGGTTCCCTCTTTTTCTTTTTCTTCCTCAATTTGTGGGCCTTTTATGACCTAGCTAACTCCTCCATAGTGAGAGTTGATAAATCTTTTGTCTCTTCAATAATGACCACGATACTTTCAAAATCATCCGTCAGATTTTTCAAGATCTTTTCTGCA